CAGCTAGGAAAAGACTACACACACTTCATGGGCAACGTGAACAAAATCCTTGCGGAGCACCAGATCCAACATGCCAACTACGAGCTACTCACGAGCAAGCTTGCCAAGGGCGAAGTGCTACCGCAAGACATTGGCTCTGCCGATCGATTCGTAGATCGAGTCGACGACCAAATATTTTCTGACCTGGGTTCCAAAAAGCTTGAGATGAATGCCATTCACCTCAAAACGGCATGGGACACGAAGGGAAAGTCGACCAAGGAGGACTGGCAGGAATGGCTCCGTCGCTTCTCTACGACTCTTTTAGCAGAATCCCCCAACCACGCTCTACGTGCATGCGCTGCTCTGGCCAGCTCCTACCTGCCACTCGCCCGAGAACTTTTCAACTCAGCGTTTGTTTCGTGCTGGTCTGAGTTGTACGAGCAGTTTCAGGACGAGCTGATCCAAAACATCGAGAATGCGATCAAGTCGGAGAATGTGCCCCCGGACCTGCTGGGACTTTTACTTAATCTCGCCGAGTTTATGGAACATGATGACAAGGCGCTACCAATCGACATTCGTGTCCTTGGCCATCAGGCAGGTCGCTGCCACGCCTACGCCAAGGCCCTCCACTACAAGGAGCTTGAATTCCTCCAGGACCAGAGCAGTGGGGCGGTCGAGGCTCTCATCGGCATCAACAATCACCTGCAGCAGTCCGATGCTGCCATTGGCATCCTCCGCAAGGCCCAGCTCTATAAGGAAGGTATCCAGCTTAGAGAGACATGGTTCGAGAAGCTGGAGCGCTGGGAGGAAGCTCTTGACTTTTACAACAAAAGGGAGCAAGACATCCCTGAAGACCAAGCTGTTCCTGTCGATATCATCATGGGCAAGATGCGCTGCCTGCACGCCCTGGGCGAATGGGAGGCTCTTGCGAACATTGCCGGCAACACTTGGTCTAACTCGTCGCCGGAAGTGCAGCGCCTCATTGCTCCTCTGGCCACGGCCGCCGCTTGGGGTCTGTCTAAGTGGGATTCCATGGACAACTATCTCCAGTCGATGAAGCGTTTCTCGACTGATCGCTCGTTCTTTGGCGCCATTCTCGCCCTGCATCGCAACCAGTTCCGAGAAGCGTTGAACTGCGTGCAGCAGACGCGTGAGGGTCTTGATACAGAACTCAGCGCCCTGGTCAGCGAGTCATACAACCGGGCGTACACGGTCGTCGTTCGCGTCCAAATGCTGGCCGAACTCGAAGAGCTTATCTTCTACAAGCAGACAGATGAGAAGAAGCGCGCTACCATGCGACGCACTTGGGAGAAGCGCCTCAAGGGGTGTCAACGTAACGTGGACCTTTGGCAGCGCATGCTTCGTCTCAGGCAGCTTGTCATCACTCCCTCCGAGAATATGCACATGTGGATCAAGTTTGCCAACCTTTGTCGCAAGTCGGGTCGTATGGGCTTGGCCGAAAAGTCGCTGAAACAGCTCATCGGGACCGAGTCCTCGCTTACGTCCATGATCCCATATTGGAATGACCGACCCCAGCAGCCCAACGTGGGTCTACCCCGGAACGTCCCATCGCAAATCATCTATGCCATGCTCAAGTTCGAATGGGAAGTCGGCCAGCAACCCGCGAATAAGACTTCGGGTATCTCGGAGAAGACTCTCTACTGTCTGCGCAAGTTTACTAACGATTCGGCACACCGACACGAGGTCACCAAGGCGCATCTCACCGCCCAAGGACAACAAGGTGTAGACATGAGCCAAGAGTACAACTTCCCGCAAGGTATGGAGGGGGGCATCATGGCGCCTCAGACCCAGCGCGCCCTCCAGGACCAGACGGTGCTCCTCGCAAAGTGTTATCTCAGACAGGGCGAGTGGCTCATTGCGCTCAACAAGGAAACATGGCAATACGAAAACGTTCAGGACATATTAACTGCCTACTCCCAGGCGGCCAAGTATAACCCACGTTGGTACAAGGCGTGGCACGCATGGGCGTTGGCCAACTTTGAGATTGTGCAGGCGTTGACCAGCAGGAGCGAACTTAACCGGGCGGACCAGGCTATGATCGTCGATCATGTCGTCCCGGCGGTGCGGGGCTTCTTCAAGTCTATCGCTCTGTCATCGGGCAGCTCGCTGCAGGACACATTGCGTCTCCTTACATTATGGTTCACACACGGCTCGAGTGCTGACGTCAACGCTGCAGTCACTGAGGGCTTCACCAATGTTAGCGTTGATACTTGGCTTGAAGTCATTCCTCAGCTCATCGCCCGCATCAACCAACAGTCTCGTCGCGTGCAGCAGACGATTCACAGCCTTCTGGCTGATGTTGGCAGAGCCCACCCGCAGGCCCTCATTTACCCTCTCACTGTGGCCACAAAGTCGTGGCACAGTGCCCGCCGCTCCCGGTCCGCAGCGCAGATTATGGATAGTATGCGTCAGCACTCGGCCAATCTCGTCTCCCAGGCAGATGTCGTCAGTAACGAACTTATCAGGGTTGCCGTCCTATGGCATGAGCAGTGGCACGAGGGTCTGGAAGAGGCATCACGACTGTACTTTGGCGATCATAATATCGAGGGCATGTTCTCGACTCTTGAGCCCCTCCATGACCAGCTGGAGCGCGGGCCTGAGACACTTAGAGAGATCTCGTTCGCGCAAACGTTTGGTAGGGACCTGACGGAGGCGCGGGAGTGGTGCCGACAGTATGAGTCGAGCCGAGATGTGAACGACCTCAACCAAGCCTGGGACTTGTACTACCAAGTCTTCCGTCGCATATCGCGACAGTTGCCGCAGCTCACGAGCCTGGAACTACCCTACTGCTCACCCAAGCTGCTTAGCGCCAAGGATCTCGACCTCGCCGTACCTGGAACGTATCGAAGCGGAAAGCCCATTGTCCGTATCATGGACTTTGAGGGCACCTTTTCGGTCATCAACAGCAAGCAGCGCCCGCGTAAGATAACGATTGGCGGCAGCGACGGTGTGCGATACGCGTTCCTCCTCAAAGGCCACGAGGACATTCGCCAAGACGAACGTGTTATGCAATTGTTTGGCCTTTGCAACACGCTGCTGGCGAACGACTCGGAGTGCTACAAGCGACATCTCAACATCGAGCGTTATCCAGCGATTCCGCTGTCGCAGAGCTCAGGTCTCCTTGGCTGGGTGCCAAACAGCGACACGCTCCACGTACTTATTAGGGAATATCGTGAGAGCCGCAAGATCTTGTTGAACATTGAGCATCGGATAATGTTGCAGATGGCTCCCGACTATGACAACTTGACTCTCATGCAGAAGGTGGAGGTCTTTGGCTACGCGCTTGATAACACCACCGGCCAAGATCTGTACCGCGTACTGTGGCTCAAGAGTAAGAGTTCTGAGGCCTGGCTCGAGCGGCGCACCAACTACACGCGCTCTCTCGGCGTCATGTCCATGGTCGGCTACATCCTGGGTCTGGGTGATCGTCACCCGTCGAACCTAATGCTAGATCGTGTCACCGGCAAAATCATTCACATTGATTTCGGCGATTGCTTCGAAGTCGCGATGAAACGCGAGAAGTATCCGGAACGCGTGCCCTTCCGCCTCACGCGCATGTTGACGTATGCCATGGAGGTTAGTAACATCGAGGGCAGCTTCAGAATCACATGCGAGCATGTGATGCGGGTTCTGCGCGAGAATAAGGAAAGCGTCATGGCCGTTTTGGAAGCTGTAAGTCGAATGGCCTTGAGCTGCTCGAAACACCCTGAGGATTAATCAACTAACATGACTGCAGTTCATCCACGATCCCCTGCTGACTTGGCGCCTTACCAATGCGGCAAGTCCAACGGGACCAAACTTCCGGTCCGAACGTGAACAGGCCATCGCTGGTCCCACGGCGTCGCAGACAGGTCCTCGCGGTCGCCGGCCTTCAATGCTCGATGCTGACGTGGCACCGACGGAGCTACTCGCGGCAGCAGGCGGCGATGCCTCCGCACTAGTAGGTGGGCCGCCTACAGCAAGGTCCAGGGCGCGCACCAACTCGTCCATCGCGCCGAGCACGAGCCTGGTCAACGGTAATAACGTCATGGACCCTGCCGATGCACAAAATGCGCGGGCGATTGAGGTCCTGGATCGCGTTTCGCAGAAGCTGAGGGGTAAGGACTTCAAGCCTAACGAAGAGCTTGACATCGTCGCGCAGGTCAACAAGCTCATCACGGAGGCCACCAAGCTGGAGAACCTGTGTCAGCACTACATAGGATGGTGCAGCTTCTGGTAATCCGAGAGACATGGGTGGCTCAGAGGATGAGCTTTTGCGACGACAAGAAGCGAGCAGCAAGAGAGAAGCCGGGGTGCCGTAATGGACCGCCTAGGGAAGGATGTCAAATGATTGGCTCGGCGTTGGGGGTTATATTCGAGGTCAGTCATGTTTCTCTATGGGCGTTGTTTTGGAAGGTTAAGGGGTTGCCTGGATGAGGGCTGGGTCTTGGACCTGCTTATTTTGAGCTCCCCTGCCTTGTTATTCATCTGTAAATAAGTGCAAAGCTTGTAAGGCGTCTTGATCTCCTACGTGATTGGGACCTTTGAATCTGAACGAAACCGCTGTTGAAATATGCACCACGTGTCTAATCAGAACCAGCCACTGCGCTATCCAACAGAGAAGATTTTCCAAATCACACTCCAGAGTGGTCAATCCGCAGCCCCAAAAAGAGCTTGTGAGGCCCGAAATAGCTGGACCGGGGGGGGCGAAGACCGTGATAGGACCCGGCAGTTACATCGTCTTTCTCCTGGCTCACAGCCCTGCCAAGCCACGACCATTCTGCCACTTAAGCCAGCAGAGTGCGAGTAGACCAATAAGGCCAGGTTGAAGGATCGCGATACCCCACTGTCTCGCCGCGATGAACGTCTGGGGGGTAGGACATATTAGACGACGGCGCCCCCAGCAGCTCTCGCTCTATCCTCTGTCTCGTCAGCTCGCACTCGCAAAACATCTTATTGGGCGAAAGGCAACTTGCGCCAACCCTCTCAGCGTTTTGTGACAGGGCAGTCTGCCTCAGAACATGCTGGTCGTTGCCATGGAGAGGCAATTTACATCGCCACAATTGGCAACATCGAACGCAGGTACGGACAGTCCCGGTTTCACTGGATCAGCGCCGTCTGCATCAGTAGCGAAACGAAACGGCCGCAAGGGTTCGCGAAAGGTCCGGACTGGGTGCATCACTTGCAAGTAAGCACAGCAGCTGCCACCATGGTACGTAGCCACCGAGATGACAGCTGACATCTCTCCAGGATCCGCCGTGTCAAATGCGATGAGGTCAAGCCGGCCTGCGAGCGCTGCACCAAGACTGGTCGGGGGTGTGACGGTTATGCGATAACCACTCCCAGCGTAACCAGGGCTCAATCGCAGTCCTCCCCACTACCGAGCGGAGCCAGCATTGCCAGGACCATGAGTCCATTCGCAGCATGGGATGCCAACGACCAACGCGCGTTCCACTACTATCGCAACTGTTCTGCCACGTCACTGTTCACGCAGGCTACTTCAACTTTCTGGGCTCGTATCGTGCCAGCTCTGTGCTTCGAGGAACCGGCCGTACGTTACGCTGTGCTTGTCATCAGTAACCTTCACCAGAGTGCCTATGGCGGCAATGGTCGTACACCCAAGAACCTCAAAGGCTGCGATGCCGTCTGCACGCCGTTTGCAGCCGGACAATATGGCAAGGCTTTGAGGTCACTGCAACAGTGGCGGACGCCGAGCGCCCCCGGCATGAGGGGAACGGCTTCTGTTACCGTACCATTGCTCACATGTCTGCTCTTCATTTGCATCGAATTTATGCTCGGCGATATGAGCGCCGCCATGGTGCACATTATCCAGGGACGGGCCATACTAGCCAAGCTGGCGGAGGATCCACACGAAGCACAAGGGCCCGCGGCGGACCTGATCCGGAGAGAGCTCGTTCCTGTGTACACCCGGCTCAGCGTCGCTTCTTTCGTTTTCGGGGCCAAGCCTGTACCGATCCCAACCGAGTTGAGGCCACAGCGGCCAGCAAACATTGTGTTTGACCGTCTTGAGGATGCCGAGCTCAGCCTGCATGAGATCATCGATGACGGTCTTCGGTTTGCCAAGGATGCCAAAGCGTGGGTATTCACTGCTGATCCGACAAGCCTAAGCTGGGCCGCAGAAATCAAAGCGTGGTGGGCACGCAGCGCCGACTTGACAAGACGATCAGATCAGTGGCAGGTGGCGTTTGCCGTCTTGATAGCTGCGCGGGGCGGAGGCTCAACAGACGCTGCAAGAATGTGCCGCCTCTATTACCTGACCTTGACAGTGTATCTCGGTACGGCACTCGCTCGCCTCGAGTGTTCGTTCGATGAGCACATGACTACTTTTGCTTCGATAGTGGACGTCGCGGGAGAGATCTTGCAGGATGAGGAGGCAAGAGGAGCAGCAGCTCCGGGCGGCGATGGGGCTCGGTTCAGCTTTGAATCTGGCATCGTGCCACCCTTGTATTATACTGCAGTCAAGTGTCGGCATCCAATATTGAGGCGGGCCGCAATCCGGCTGCTTCGAAGGAAGGGTGCCTTGGATTGCAAAGAAAACTTGTGGGATGCCAGGCTAGTTGCGAGGATCGCGATGCGAATCGTAGAGCTGGAGGAGACGAGGGCCCTCACCATACTGGGCAAGGACGTGCCAGAGCCGCCGGACAGCAGACATGCGAAGGCATACATCCCGGCCAGGGACAAGATTCAAAACTTCCTGAAGAACATACCTGGGAATCGACCGCCGAGTATCCCTCACGAGGAGGCAGAGTGGATCTTCGAGGCCGAAGCGGCCGGTCCAGTTCCTGAAGGGGATGTGGTGGATGTACTGGGACTACCGGATAACGATGATGCGAGGAGTTCGCCGTTCCATATTCCCGAAGCGGCACGTGTCATGAATGCCGACATTAGTCCTAGAGTGAGCGGGGGCTCCTGGGTCACATTCTGGGTCGTGCCGCAGATGGAAGGTGAGCTGCGCTGGGATGTGATTCGAGAGTTTGTTGCGAGGGGAACACAAGAGTCGCCAATCTTGAACCGAGTGTGATGGAGGCGGGTCAATACGAAGCGAGCAAATCGATGTCGTGATGCATGCCGCGTGCCGAGTGCCGGATGGCACTTTACGGCAGTCACCAGCGCTATGCGACGCATATAGCACACGAGGACCTGGCTCGGCTTAGGAACTTTGCAGTCTACCAGGTTCCCTCGACAATTCATTCCAATGTTTTTTTGCTCTATACCAGGTAACTGTTCCTGTGTGCGGGTCCAGAAGCAGGCTCGAAATGGGATTTTTGGAGAGAAGGTGACAACTTTCCGGGATTGTTTGATGTTGATGAGAACGGATAGGACGGCTTCTCTCAGATGATAGCTCACCATTCAGACCGCCAAACTGACAAGCCAATGTAGTGCACAGGCGCCAGGCCCGGGTACAAGGGCAAGGATTGAACGCGTGAAGGTGTGCTTGTGGCGGTTTAAGCATAGCGTGGGCATCTTGGGGATTCCGATGTGGCTGGCAGCGGTTAACCCCTATACCTCGCCATGGTTCGGCTTTCCCCGCTCTCACTATCCCCACAGTCCTCGCGCGTGTCCCAAACCCTTTCCCATTTCGGTCATCCCTTCGCAATCTGTCATGAATCTCCAAGCCTTGTGCTATCTCGCCATACTCTGTGGCCCATAGATCATTTGAAGTGACAACACAAAGGAGCCCATAGCTGAATCGTTAGAGCGTCACTCTGGCTGCAACTGGCCAGTGAGCGAAGCATGCCACCATCAGCATCGCCGTCGACGTCAGAATGCATGCAGTGCAATGCCCAGACCTAGTGGCACATGGCAACGCCAGCGACGCATGACATTCTGGGGTAAAATCCCCGCTCCAAGCTTGTTCCGAAGACAAGTTTGGGAATCTTGCTGCCACCTGCAATGGTCCAGCACCTCGGGATATCTCCAGTCGAGCATGCGCTTGAGCTTGCGTCACCTGCATCTAACTTTATCATTGCAAACGTACCGTCATGCCAGTTCTCAGACAGTATACGGCCTGGAATCCACTCACTCTCTGCTCACGAGGCCGCGCCACACATGAGACGAGCAGCGGGACCCCTGGCTCCGACCCAGCGGGTCGCCCGTCCCTGAATCTCGGGGCAAATCCCCAGACACCTCGGCCGTCCACAAGCTTCCGCCAATCACTGTACACACACACCCATCCACAACAGTTCACACTCGCAGTCGCCCCGGTTGTGACCCTGCCGTCGTTCGTCCCATATGAACTTGTCGATGCTCTGGCCTTATAATTACCGGGCGTGCCGTGCCGTTTTCAACAACCCACCATCCACCAGGTTCTCCGCTGATCACCTTACTTCACTTCTTCCCACTCTTCCAACCTACAAGGGCTCGCCAGATCGAGTTCCTTACGATCATTATCATGGCACCCTCGCTCGTCCAGCTGTCTCTTCTGACGGCCGTCTCGTTCGCCTCCTCAGCTCTTGCTGCCTTCGGGTATACGACATCGGGTAATAACTATGTTGTAGACGCCGGCTCGTCCAACGCCCTTGTCTTCTCCGTATCCCGCTCCAGCTGTGACATCAACTCCATCAAGTTTCGCGGCAACGAGCTCCAGTATGCTTCTCAGGGCACCCATATCAGTTCCGGTCTCGGCACTGCTACTGTCACCGCTACTCAGACATCAGGCGTCATCACCATCACATGTTCCACGTCGACCCTCACCCACTACCTCGTCGCCAAGGAGGGTGACAGCCTGATTTACATGGCCACCCACATCACCGCCCAGCCTGAGATTGGCGAGCTACGCTACATTGCTCGCCTCAAAAACGATATTCTTCCCCTCGAATATCCGTACGGCACCGCCTCCACCACTGGTGGTTCCACCTCCACTGTGGAGGGTTCTGATGTCTTCGTCGTCAACGGCCAGACCCGGTCCAAGTTCTACTCGTCCGACCGCTACATCGATCGCGGCGTCCACTGCGTCCACGGCACGTCCCCTGAGGAGATCCATGCCTGCATGATCATTCCGCAAACTGAGACCTCCTCCGGCGGACCCTTTCATCGTGACATTGAAACCAACAACAATGGCCCCTTTACGGCCTTGTACAACTACATGAACAGCGGTCACGTTCAGACTGAAGAGTACCGCATGGGTCTACATGGCCCCTATGCTCTGAGCTTCTCTCGCTCCGGTATCCCCCAAACTGGCGATGTGGACTTCACTTTCATGTCGAGCCTTGGCCTTCGCGACTACGTTGCTGCAGGTGGCCGTGGTCGCGTCTCTGGCCGTGCCACTGGCGTTCCCGGCAGTTTCAGCCCTGTGGTTCACTGGTACAACAAGGATGCCCAGTACTGGACCACTGCAGGCTCCAACGGCGCCTTTACCTCGCCGGCTATGAAGCCCGGCACTTACACTCAGGTCCTCTACCAGACAGAGTACAAGGCTGCCGAAACCTCCGTCACCGTCACCGCCGGCAGCACCACTACTCGTGATATTGCTAGCACAGTTCAGGTCCCAAGCAACTCGCTCTTCAAGATTGGGGAATTTGACGGCCAGCCCACCGGCTTTCGCAACGCAGACAAGTTTCTCCGCATGCACCCCTCAGACAGCCGCATGAGCAGCTGGACCAACTCGTACACGGTTGGCTCCTCCGCGCTGAGCGACTTTCCCATGGCTATTTTCAAATCGGTGAACAACGGCGTTGTGATCAACTTCAACCTTGCCTCCGCTCCAGGTGCTGCAACCTTCCGCCTCAGCACCACCCTGTCCTTCGCCGGCGCACGTCCTGCTGTTCAGGTCAACACCTGGACCGCCGCCACACCCGCCGCGCCGCGTAACCTCAACTCCCGTGGCGTGACTCGCGGCGCCTACCGGGGCTTGGGCGAGCAATACGACATTGCTATCCCGTCTGGCCAACTCAAGGCCGGGGCCAACACCATCACCATCAGTGTGGCTTCTGGCAGCAGCGGCGACACGTTCCTGAGTCCCAACTTTGTGAGTGTCTCTGATAGTAGGCTATTGATCAGCGCTAACTTTAAGTCCAGATTGTGGATGCTCTCGAGCTTTTCACGTCTTAGGATAGTTGCGAGAGGGTTTGAGCATTTGGAGTCTTCTGATATACATATTTGGCCATTGTCTGGCCCATCGTACATGATCGTTACATACATAGTGGCTATTATATTGTCCCTGTGGGACCGTTCCGTCACTTGTGCCCAGCGCGTCCGCATTGTTGCTTATCCATTTTCGTCGCTGTTTCTCATCTATCCCTTGAGGACAATGGACCTGCATCGCTCCCTGACCGCTGAACTTCGTGGCATAATAGGTCATCAAGCTCCCTTAGTAGCGCATCTGGCGTTCGTGTGGCTGCGGCCGTTGTTCTCGGCTTGGCGTAGGGCGACCAAGGCTCAGTGGACATCACGTAGCGATCCAAGCTGTAAGGAAGGCTAGGTCCGGCACTGACGGATTATCTGTTGTCAGATTAGCTGGCTCAGCGATGTGAACTGCTGCATACCTTGATGTTGCTGGCTCTTGCGTTTCGCTGCTTGATGTCCGAGGATACGACATTATGCTAAGACAACGTGACTCTCAGGCTTTGTTTGTTTGCGGGACGGTTATGTGACGGATGCAGTAGGCTGGCTAACTCAGATCACTTGAACAACATAATATAGCGAACAATACCGATTATATGCTACTGCCCGAGGGAGGACCCGAGACTACACCAGTAGCTTCATAGCCGTGACAACTGAGATCGCAACCATCGCCGGACTACGTTCACATCGCCAAGATCGTCTGTTAATGCCAAGCGGCACGCACTGAATCTTCCTGCTGCACGTCATCTTTTGCTGGACCGTTTTCACCATGGACCAATAGACAAGCTCAATTGTGTCTTTCAACTTGGCGTTCAGGTACCCGAATCGTGGTGCACCTTAGCGTCAAAACATCCTGGTCACCAGGCCTGGTGCATCCATTTCGAAAGAGGCTCCAACTGCTTACCTGGCATCAAGCGGGTTTGCTTGACGTTTTTGCAGCTCCTCCCTCTTCCATGTTTGTTGACCGAGACATCTGGCAGGGCTGGGGTAGGCTCGGAAAATGAAACGCCATCGTTCGAAACAGATCAGCGCTCACCAGGGTGCGTGCCGGGATGCTGGCTTGAAAAAGCCAGGTACCATTTTCCCGTACCTTAGTCACTCAACAGAGGCGAAAACCGAGCCAGGCTGATATCCTGGGCGCAGTCATCATCGTGAAAGCCGGCCCGTCGATATTCTTGGATTCTCTACCGAAATGGGAATCATCGGGGCACGGCGGGGTTACAGTAGGTGTTTGCTCTGCGGACAACCAACCGTCATTTAGTTTTCGTGGGGTTTGGAGCGTGTCCTGCCGGGGGGTCCGGTATCTCCAGTTCGATTTGCTCCCGCCAGATCGTCACCATCGCGCCTAAATTGGTGGCATTCATCCTCTTAGAGGGCAAACTTGACTCTTATCACCTTCCTCGGTGTTGCAAGTGTGAGAGACGACCACCTAAGACACCTACCATGAGCCAATGATCGCTCGAGGAGAAGTTAACGACATGCAGGAGGTGCCTCCAACATGAAGAGGCAGCCTGCGATTCAGCTTGACCGTTGGCAGGTGAGGATACCTGGTGCACGGCCAATGGAGACATGACATTGCCCCAACTGGCTGCGTGGTCGCCATCATGGGCCAATCCAGTGCCGCGCAACCTCCCCCCCCCTGCGTCGGCTGCGCCGTAGTCCCCGTTGGCTGTCGATCCTTTCTTTGGGGGCCAAGTCGTAAGCAATCGGGGACTCGCACCGCCGCCGGACAGACCGCAAAGGCGTCGTCGATTGGCAAGAGAATCTTGAGAAAGCATGGCTTCTCTTTGACATGTTTCTTCTCTCCTTGTCCGATCCCGCCGCCGGCGCATGATACTCGATATTGGCTTTCCATTGACCTAAAGCCTAAGGTTAGTAACAGCGAACTACAGCAAGACGACGTGTCGCACAAACAGAACAACGCAACGAGATCACTGTCTGGGATTTCAGTGTTGCGCCATGGCAGACTCGCCATTCCACACAGAAGGCGTCGAGTCAACGTGGTCAACGCCGATGCCCATCCGCCACCGCGAGACGCGTCATCTCAAGACTTCCTCATCTGTATCTTCATCTTCTGCCACCTTCCCTCACATCACCGAGGTGCTACAATGGACGCCGCTCGACAACCCAGCCCCGCACCCGTCCTCAAAATGCCCCGAGGGCTTGAACCTCTCATCAGCAGCTTTCAAGGCGTATCGTGACCGTTCTCCAACGTCGTCGACTATGAGCTCGGCTGTCATGCCTGACTCGGCCACGACATATTCGATGCCCATGTCGCCGACCCTCTCAACATTCACTCGGGCCACGACGCCAGATATCGAGGTCCCCAGCAGGGAGACGCTGCGGGGTCATCCCATTAGGCACTGGAATCGCCAGTCTTATGATTCGTCCTCGTCCACGTTTGTTGATTCAGTGCCCGACGAAGACCGGATTAAGGACCACTCTAGACAGCCAGAGATCGATGAGATACCAGAGGTTGAAGCCATTCGTGCAGCCGGCACTCCAAGGTAGACAGCTTGGCAACACCCTAGACCCGGGAAGTGAGCCCATGCTAAAATCACTTTAGACCAGCAGCCGACCAGACCGACAGCGATGGGCCTCCGCCGCTCAAGGAGAGGATGAGTTTCGACGTGGGGGTCGACAGGCTTTCCACAGGTTGGGACGCCGACCCCGCAGACAGCGCAGACGAGGAGGTTGAGGGCGTGCTCAACTACGTCCTCCAAGCTGCGTATGGCGTCGATCTAGATGAGATTGGCGCTCCTCAGAATTTGCTCCGCCGCTTCACGTCCCGCTTCATTCAAGACGTCGGCCGCATCGCCTTCAGCGGCCCGCCAACCACGCAGCTCACGCACACGACATCAAATTCATCTCGATCAACAGTGCTCATTGCACGAGCTCCAACGCGAACCTCCCAAACTGGAAAGCGGAAGAAAGGCGGCCCCAGCCGTGACGGAACAGAAGATGACGAGGACATCAGCGAGGATGACGCCGATGGCGGTGCTCCGTTCAAACGCGCTCGACAGATCGTCAAGGAAACCGAAGAGAACCTCCGCCTGAGCTGCCCCTTTCGCAAGCGCAACCCTGCGCGGTTCAACGTGCGTGAGCATCACTCTTGCGCCATGACGTATTTTCCGAAATTTGCCGAGCTGCGACAGCATATCGTGAAGCAACATAAGCGGGTGGATCCGTCCGCCTTCGTCTGTGACCGGTGCAACCGCGACTTTGCAGCAAGGAAGGATCTCAGGGACCACCAGAGACTGCCGAGGGAGCTCATGTGTGACATTGCTGATCACGACCCTGAATGTGGCATTGATGGGCCAACGGCTGCCAAGCTGCTGAGCCGGAAGCGGGCGGGCGGGACATCGGCGGAAGTGCAGTGGATGGAAATCTGGAACCTCGTGTTTCCGGATGACGGTGATCACGAAGTGGTCAACTGGGGTGGGTTTTCTTTCTTCTCGATCGCCATGCTGGCTGCTAACTCGCATGTAGACTTCTGTCCTGTCATTGAACACTTTGAGGTGACGGGGCGCTTCCTCGCAAGCTTGAAGGCGCTCGAGGGAAGTCTACGCAACAAAGGACTCAACGAGCAGGCGCTTGAGACGATAGGCAACGTGTATCGCAACCAGTTCATCCAGGTTGTGGAGCAGTGCGTGAATGACGCGAGAACAAAGCCATACTCGAATAGAAGCAATCGCAAGAGCGAGATCAACGCTGCTATGCCAGGGCAGCCATCACGACGTGGGCCCAGGCCGGACTCGGGGGTGGATGTCGACGAAGGGTCATCTGAGGACAGTCTCTCGATCGCACTACTAGGGTCAAGTTTTGGCATGGATGATGGGTTGGGCCGGTGCTCATCGACAGGGACAGAGATTCGGTCAAGTAACGGCGCTGGCGGGCGCATGTTGATGCCCGTGATGGAGCAGGTCCCGGGGGATGGCGGCGAGTACGGGCTCAATCCGAGTGGGCTGCCGGGCGGGCTCTATGGAGACTTTGCGTCCGGTATGACAGAGGATGTCATGACGGGGTCTTGGGCATACGGGGTACCGCAAACGAATCTCGCAACGGGGCTAACTGAGATCCTGCCAGGGTCGGGGCCAGGTCCGGGGCCCAGCCCTTATGCCGGATGGGATATGGCGATGCCCTCGAATCAGACAGGCCAGTTTGATTTCCCAGGGTACGGCTCGCGGTGAAAATAGCTGAGAAACGGGCTGTATGATATGTGTACAATAGTAAGAGAGCCCTGGATGAAATCCACGAGTAATGTTAAGCCCATGAGCTCCATGCGTGAAGTTGGCCACGGTCTGGTGCCACGAAACTCCTACCCCGTGAGCACCTAAATAGAGGCCAAAAAGCGAGCACCGTAAGCAGCGTATTCGACCATGCCGATTACCCGATTACTTTGGGGTCGTAGACCATGCCTTAAGCCTGCTCGGAGGATTGCCAAGTGAATAGATGAACGAAGTGGGTGTTTGCGAGATGCAGAAATTGTCAGTGCACGAGGTGTGCGGTGCCCTCACCTGGGCAAGCTGGGCATCCACCTCACCCCCCACCTTTGCCACAACGGCCGCCCCAAGAACATACTACCAGCTTGTCGACTTCACCAACAGCCATCCCCCGAGCGGCCACACTTTCTAGTGCACTGAGAACAAGGCGCAGTTCAACGATGAAGCCATAGCTCCTCCGTCTTTTTTTCTTTTCCTCTCTTCCCAGACGCTCCTTTGATTGGAGGCTGGAAGCTGGACGCTCGATTGGTCTACTCAATGGCCAACTTCAAGAGCCCCGCGGCACCGGCCGCACAGAGGTTATACTTTTTGTGCTTCTTCTTCGGCATAGGCGCTTCAGTATGGGGGTAAGACAAGATGCGCTACATATATATCCTATTGCGTCTTGCGACGGTCATGATCCTGTAGACGTCCGCGCGGAGGGGCAGTCGAGTGAGGCATTTCGCTTGACGAGACCTCAGTAATCGGGTGCGTCAATGCTCAGAACCATGCTGACAGATATGTAGTTATCATATTGGTGTATTGTCCTCTATTCTCGTCCACCCTGGCTGGCAGGAGATGCTCAACCATCCCAAGGCTAGCACCAAGGGCATCATCACTGGTATATATTACCTTGGTACTTTCCTAAGCTACATCTTCGTCTCGCATCCCCTCAGCGACTGGCTCGGTCGTCGATACGCAGCTCTTTCTGGTGTCGGCATTCTCATACTCGGCACGGCACTCCAGGCGACCAGCAATGGTGGATCAGCCCTCGTGACCATGATTCTCGGGCGAATGGTATCGGGTGTTGGCGTAGCCATCGTTTCGACGTCGGTGCCGCTCTATCAAGCGTAGGTGAAGCCAATGAAGTGTTATGATGTTGAGTTGCTGACTTCAAAAGTGAGGTTTCACCTGCGAAACAGAGGGGTCATTTCGTGACGATGAATCACGTCGGCTTTATCGCCGGCCTCGCCACCGGCCTCTGGTAAGTTTGCGGATGCATGTTGTGTAACTCGGAGGAGAGGAACTGCGATTGACCTGTACACCAGGGTCGGCTATTTCATGACGTACTGGACCTCAGCCAGCGGTCACTACTACGGCTGGCGCCTGTCCATCTGCCTCGAACTCGTGCCCGCCCTGACGTTCGCTGCCGGGCTGCCCTGGATCCCCGAAACGTAAGTCGCAAGCCCCTTTGCGCGCACATGTACACAACTGATGTCTGGTCAGCCCCCGTTGGCTCGTCGAAAACGGTCATCTCGAACGTGCCAAGTCGACTCTTCGTTGGCTTCGCGAGGGCATGGCGCTCGATGCTGAAGTGGACGCCGAGTTTGCCGCCATCACTAGAAACGTCGACGCCTACTACCCTACCCACACGTCCTGGCTTGCTCTCTTCCGTGAGCCAGCCCTTTTCGCCCGTTTGTGGCGCGCTGCAGCCCTGCAGTTCATGGCTACTCTGTGCGGCGCCACGGCGATGAAATACTATCTTCCCACGCTGCTCAAGGCGCTTGGACTCGAGACGAGGGTAGCCCTCATGGCTGGTGCCGCAGAGATGACCATCAAGATTGGCTTCACAGTGTTGGAGATGTTTCTCATCGACCGTTTTGGCAGGCGAATGTGTCTCGTGGCGGGCTGTTCTGTGATGGCCGTGGCCATGATGGTGAGTGCTCGTACAATAGGCCTGCGCGGAAATGGCTCTGCCAGCTAACAAAACGGCAGATTAACGGCGCCCTGCCGATCGCGTATCCGGACAACTCGAGCAAGATAGCGGATGTCATCTGTATCATTTTCATCTTCGTCTACGCCCTGGGCTACAGCCTAGGCTTCGGCCCGGCATCATGGGTGTACAATACCGAGGTAGGTTGCTTCCAAACGGCATTTGGTCAGGCCAAGCTGCTGACGCCGGTAGATCTTCCCCACGTCGGTGCGGGCGCGGGGGCTTAATTTCGCGGCATCGGGTGGCTCGGTCGGCTCCATTATTGTGTCGCACGTATGGCCTGTTGGACGGGCAGCATTGGGCAGCAAGGTTTACTTTATCTTCATGGTGGTCAACGTGCTGTGCATTCCGGTATGACGTTCAGCAACCCTCATAGTCTCGAGGCCAGCTAACGTTTCTAGATCATCCTCATCTTCTACCCGGAGACAAAAGGCATCGCTCTAGAGGACATGGATGCGCTTTTCGGTAAGGTTGCGACGGCGCAGGGGGTTGACGGCGGCCGCCAAGGGCTGGAGGATACGGAACGGCTGCTGGCGCCACAGTCACCAGGTGACGCGGAGGAGCCTTATCATGACGTATCCACGAGAGTGTGAACTGGCACGGTGCAGTCGACATATCATGATATAGTGCGATGTGTTCATAATGAAGTAGACCCCGCCCGTGATGTCAGGTTGGAGGCTCTCGTGTAGGTTCAAATGGGCGGCAGGTGCAATAGTCACGCAATGAACCACATGTGCTTTTTTTTCTGCTTACCTGTGTCGCCATCGCAGACCTGGCGGCCCTTATCTATGCTCGCCATGTCAACAACCTGTGCGGCTGTCTGAGACTCCAAGACATGTGAGCAGCGCTGAAGAGGGAAAAGGGCTGTCACGCGGCATTGTGCAGGCGCGCCAGGCGTCCCGTCCGCATTGAGACATGCACAAAGGGAAGCGAACCAGGCACATCTCAGACTTCGGCAGCTCAAGGGAGCTTGGACCTGGTGACACATTTCGGAGCATGATAGGGGTGCAATTGATGTGGCAGACGATACCGACGTTGAACTGCGATTGATGATCGCATTGTGTACAATCATCTTGACACGCATGAGGGACGGAGGTGGACAGAGCTTGTCGATAGTTACCGGGAAGTTCCATGCTTCGTCTTGGGATCGGATGAGTTGGCGCATGCGTCGATCTTAGCAGCTTGGGTTGGCAGAATCAAATGCAAAGAGCATACCTTGCCTACCTACCTTATTTATGAGTACCTTACGCAGTGTAAGTCGCTCGGTAGGTACCCAGACACGACCATCACATCGGTTGTGATGCCCAAACCAGCCAGAGTCTGATTCACTCTCAAGTGCGATAAGCTGTACCCGCGTGAGCGATAAGCCTCATGACAAAACTCATTCGGAGGGAAGGTGGGGAGCGTCGGTGGTTGTTGCTTGGTCCAGGAGGTGACGACAGGATGAAGCAGGCAAGGCAGGCAAGGGCCCATGGCGGCACCCGGACAGGGTGAATGAGGGGAAGTAGTACCCAGGACGAGGGGAGGATCGACCAGGCTGGGGTGCGCGCACACTGCTAGTGTCATTGGGGCAGGTTTCTGGCAGTCTCGCCTGGGGAAATTTGCGGGTTTCTCCACTGTGCCACGCCAGCTCTTTCTTTGCTGGCCCATCAGACTGGTGGTGCCCAAGTCATCAGATGACGCCTGAGTGGTGGAACTTAGGGTCGAGACCCGTCTTGACTCGGCCGTGAGCAGCTAAGCCCACTGCACCTCGTTGTACCTGCCTCTCTGTGTCTGGCTCCGGTGCCTGCCCAGACACCTGGCCTCGCCGCTATGCCAGTACCCCCTACCTACCTTAGGTACCTACCTAGGTACCTCAACAGAGGCACCCCGTGCCGACTCCGCTGTACTAGGTACTGTCATCGCCATCGCCTCATCATCCAGCGAAGGAAAAGGAACATGATCGTCTGTCGAGGTAGGTCAACGAAAAGCCTTCCGACAAATTGCTTTTTCCCATAATCGCTGGAGTTCGACTAGCTGGTCGTTTGTGGATGGGACTGCCTTCTCCTCAACACTCAGGTCAACAATCAACCCGGCCTTGCGGTATCGTACCTTACGGCTGCTTTCGGCATTTTGCCTCGCGGGCCTGCCCTTCAGCTACTCGCGCTCGTCAGCAGCTACTCACTCAACAAGCCACGCTCCGAGCACATCGACTCGCCCAGACAGCACACAACCCACAGCCAGCCGTCCCGTCCTGTCTTGTTCCACTCAATCCAACACCACCACGCTGCCAGCTGCCATTCTATCTGCACCACCATCCATCGAGCTTCTAGCCCAGCCACCCCATCGGCCTCTGAGGCCCACTACAGCGCAGCAACCAGAGTCGACCGGGGGGTAACCCAACGGCAGCAGACCCGAACAGACCGCAGCGCATCCACACGACAAAGCACGGCCCTATCACCTCTGATCCCCCCTCCCCTCCCCTCCCCTCCCCCTGCCTCCTCGCGGCCCTGCTGCCAGGTTCCTTGCTGCATTGACGACATCCTTTTGTCTCTCTCCCCCTATCAACAATTCTAGCCCGCATCGTTTTCATTGTCTGGCCTTGTCCGATCGAGCCTACTGCAGAGCCGCCTCGTGCTCTTCACCTCCCTCTCACCCTCCGAAAATCTCTCGTCGCCAACAACGACTCGTCCCAGAAAGTTTGACGGTCCATCGTCCCCTCCGACACCGCAGTTCAATATACCCGGGTCACTCCCGATCCTCTGAACCCCCCCCTCTCTCTCCCAGCCCTAGCCAGCGCCCTCGTCGCCATGCCCGCCTGGTAACGCCTCGCGCCATGCACACTTGACCTGCCACCAGCAAGCCTCACAACCTCGCCTTGATTTGCCCCGGCTTTTCGAACCCGCGTGGCACATTCTGCGCAGAGCGCGCCGTCCTTTTATCGCACGCACACTGCACCACACGCCGCTCCTCCCGGACACGAGCGCCGACATATTTACCACGGCTTTCGCCTGCGGCCAGCGCTCCTGGGCCCCCTACGACGTAAACATATCGAGACCGTACCCTGTCGCCACGCCTTTCGAAATAGTCCTCTTTCTCCCCTCTCCCACGACACTATGGGCAACTCCAATACAAAGGAGTCTCGTCCCGAGCCTTCCGGCGCCTCCGGCCGGCTCTCCCAGGCGCCCTCACATGAGCCCGCCGCCGCCAGCCGACCGAACGAGCAACCTGTTCCTCCTTCGGACCGTAGCAGGAATAGGCAAAGTCGGTTTACAAGAGGCGAGCTCAATCTTCTTGGCCTGGGCTCAACGGGAGCTAACAACAGAGAAGAGGCGCCCTATGAACGGAGGGAAACGAAACAGGAAAGGGAGGCGAGACGCCTCGAGAAGGAAAGAACGGCTCGTGAAAAGGAGCGTGAACGGAGTATGAAAGAGGAACATGTCGACGGAGGATATCTGGTCACGCTTGGCGTCTACACCGGACCCGAAGACTTCAATAAGCAAGTCGTCAGGCAGCTTCAGGTATGTCACCCCTCGTAATATCTGGTATCTGCCAGCCATGTTACTGACCAGGAATCGCCAGCTCGATCGCAAAATCGCGCCTTTCTGGCGAGGCCTTGACGACAAGGATGACAGCTGGACCGAATACCAGCTCGTCTGCGCTGGCCGAGGTCTCCCCATCCCCGCTGCCGACGAGCAACCCCCCGAAGACCTTGTTCCTGCAGCTCCGACGCCGGTTTCGGCCAATGCCTCTTCGCAAAACCTTGCAAATTTGACGGTGCCCATGGGCCCTCGCTCGTTGTCTGTTGAGTCTGACTACAGCACATCGACGGCCAACGCCAACTCGGCCCTTGCCTCGCCAACCACGAACCCAAAGCGGTCGAGCTCTCCGTTCAAGCCTCGCGCAAAAGCCCTTGCTGCGGCCCTCAGCGGCAGTTCGCGCAATAACTCTTCAGCCAATATTGCGCCTCGTGAGATCACCTTACCACATGACCCCTTCGTCAATGGCCAGCTCCTCGAGGTCTTTCTCTACAAAGACGCTTCCGAGTGTCCCATCTGCTTCATGTACTACCCCCCGTACCTCAACCGTACCCGTTGTTGCGACCAGCCGATTTGCAGTGAATGCTTCGTCCAAATCAAGCGACCCGAACCACATTACCCAGAACACCACGGCGAGCCAGGCGAGCCAGGTCAACCGCAGGCGCCCAGCCCGGAGCAGAATCCGGAGATGCTTATCTCAGAACCCGCTGCGTGTCCCTATTGTCAACAGTCCGAATTCGGTGTCACGTACGAGGCACCACCCTTCCGCCGCGGCCTCGCGCACGCTATGCCCCCGCTGAGCTCGCATAACACGGCCATGTCGTCACAGAGTTCGCTCAGCTCAACCATGCCCGGATCTCCGCCCACCGGCAGAAGGCGCACGCAGAGCCTGTCCGCCAATGCGCCAAACGTCATTGCTACCGACCGCGTCCGCCCCGATTGGTCTAGCAAGCTCGCCGCACAACGGGCGCACCAAGCCAGGCGCGCTGCTGCCGCCACAGCGCTACATACGGCCGCTTTCCTCATCGGCGAAAACCAACCACAACGTGGTTTTGCTTTTACTCGGCCTGGCCGCTTCAGTAGACGCAACACCGGGCAGAGCAGCCCATCTGCCAACCCTGGCGACGAAAGCCCGTTGGCACATGACGGCGAGGATCCGAACGGCATGGAACCGGGCCCTCGTGGATCCTCTGGTCGTGGCATTCTCGGTCGCCGAAGCCGCATGGACGAGCTCGAGGACATGATGTTCATGGAGGCTGTTCGACTCTCTCTCGCTGCCGAAGAGGACCGAAAGCGGAAACAGGAAAAAGCCGAGCGCAAGGATGCCAAGAAGCGGGAGAAGGAGGAGCGAAAAGCAGCGAAGAAGGCCGAGAAGCAAGGCCATTTTTACAACGGAGGTAGCTCTGCTAGCGCCAGCAGCTTGTCTCTCGGATTTGGTAGACGTCGTGGCAACAGCACGACCAGCAACCTTCGCATGGAAGCAACGCAGAACGCGCAGACCAGCTCGACCAAGGTCAACGAAGTGCCTAGCGGGTCGCCCACCAGCCCGACACCACCTGTGGAGGCCGGCGACAAGGGCAAGGGCATCGATCGTGGACAGGCTGAATCGGAAGGCGTCGACAGCACAGCTACCCAGAGCAGCTCGACAGTACCCTCGCTACCGATCCCCACGACGAGCCGCGGCCCGTCTCACCTCAGACAAATGAGCAACGCTTCATCGATATCCTCCTCTCTCGCTGACAGCGCGGCTGGGAGCTACTCGAACACTGGCTACCTCGATGGTAACAACCCTCGAGGAAATGGGACCAGCTCGGGTGCGCGGGGCGAAGAAGCCGACCGCGACGCTACAGAGCCCATGTACAACTTCCGCAGCCTGGCAGAGATGGTGGGCGTCGACATTGAGAATGGCGAAAGCTTGGCACGAGCTGGGGACACGAACAACAGCTCAGCGACCAAAAAGAGAGACGATGACGATGTCCCTGAAGCCGAACAAGTAGAGGATGTCCGTCTTACGAAGCAACAGCTGGTCGAGGATAGCGTGGCAACGCTCAAACCCCCACCTACGATAATCGAGCTGCCTGAAGAACACGGAGAGACGAGCGTCACCAGCACGCCCATCAGCGATATATCAACGCCTGAGGTTATGGTCACGCCGGAGACACCGGCACCTCTCGACGACGAAGGGGGCGAGTCAAAGAAACTGGGATACTCAATGGTGGAGAGGTCACCAGCTATCACACACTGAGCTAGCATTTGGAGACAGGGGCCAGCGTTGAGCTACAAAGCTTGCATGTGTTCGTGATGGGGGTAAGAGTGCTGAACATTTGGGCGTTTGGGGCTTGTCTATGAAGTCTTTTAGAGTATGGGGATTGGGCGCTCAGCGTGTGCTGCGCTGTATTTGTAAGACAGCTCACTTCCTGTCACGATGGGCACAACTTTATTGGGAATACATTTGGGAATGCAGCGTGATAAATTCACTCTCCTTGTGATATTTATTCATAATTCGTTAAGCTTACGCGGCGCCAGTGAGAACCGGCGCAACGCTTTCAGTGGAAACGAGGTCACGTTGAGCCTCAACCAGCAGATTTGAGTCATCGCCACTCGCTACGCAAGGTGCGGAATCCAGATCCGTCGGTAGCACACCAAATTCGGACCGTGTGTTGACAAAGTCGGCTTGGGGGCTCTCCCAACTATAGTTGCGCCATCCGCCCAGCGCAGGCCACATGCTCTCCTCGACAAGCTTTCGGAATCTCTCGTCGAGCGCCACGGCGGCCTCCTCCTCTGCTGTGCGGACCGCGGGTGCCGGTCGCTCGCCCGCGTCAATCGCCAGCAAAACGTCCTGCCACGCACGATTCGTCTCCTCGAGTTCCCGGGCGTTGGTGACACCCATGACGCTGACGCCGATCCTGCGCGTATTGCCGCCGCCGGCGGTGGTGCCGAAGCGGGCACCCTTGCGGGCCCACGTAGACATGGCCCAGTGCAGGGCGACCTTTTCGAGCGACGAGCCCTCGGCGGCGGCCAAGGGCCCAATATCGCGGCACGCGGTGCGCAAGGGCCGCGGGGCCGGGTGCCAGGTAGCCTGGGGCCCGGCGTCGGCGCCGCGGGTCGTGAGGAGGCCCATGGACAGCATGCTGGCGTTGGTGACGACGGAGACGCCGGCGGCGTCGAAGCGGTCGAGGAGGCTAGTGTCGGAGGCGAGCGTGTCGTTTTGTATGCAGAGGTGGCTATAGGACTGGACGGCGTCGAGGGGCTCGCCCGTCTCGCGCAGGATCATCTCAGCGAGCGCGGCGAGGACGGCGGGCGGGTAGCCGGAGATGCCTACGTAGCGAAGGAGGCCCTGGCTGCGCAGGGCGCGAAGCTCGCGGACGGCGGCGAGGACCTCAGCGGGCGAGACAAACTCGACGTCGTGGCAGTGCACGACGTCGAGGTACGGCGTGTGCAGGCGCGCCAGCGAGCGGTGGACTGAATGGCGAATGTGAGCTGGCGAGTAGTCGAACGCCGAGGGACCGACGCGGCCGGCCTTGGTGATGAGGAAGAGCGAGTCGCGGGGTGGCGCAAGAGCTGACAAGGCAGCGCCCACGAGGAGCTCCGAGGGACCATAGTAGGGTGATGTGTCGATGGCAGTTATGTTGGCGGCGAAAGCTGCGCGGAGCACAGGCAGCGAGAGGTTGTTGAAGTCGGGATTGGGGTGGTACTGGATGTTGAACGTCGCTGTGCCTAGGATAAGTGACGGAATGACCGACGAGAGGGGTGGCAGGGCTGTCATGTTGATATTGCGGGAAGAGAGGCAGCCGACAAAATCCGAGAAACGAGCATGAAAAGGATAGGGGGGAAATGGAGGAACAGGAGAGAAAGGAAGGAAAGGCACTTGTAAGAATCTAAAGGTGGGGGGGGCGGCCGGGAGAAAAATGCGGCAACGCCAAAGTGAAGGTATCGCGACCGACGCGCAAAATGCGCCCGAGACGATCCGACTGGATGGAGGGGCAATCAAGCACGTCAGCGCGATTCGCATGCGTTAGTTTTAGTTCGCCAAGCCAGGACAGGCCTAGGGCCCGAGATGGGGGACACCGAGAGATCTCGCGCTTGGGTGGCTGGAAACAGAACAGGGGCAGACAAAGATAGATTGGTGTGAGGCATTATCGATGATGAAGTGGCCGACTTTCACGCTATCATCGAGGTGAAGGAGGGTTCCGGGATCAAGGGAGAAGTCAGGTAAGTAGCTTATGAAGCTGATACGAGCTCAGTTTGGACAATGGACACCTAAACTTACCATCCAGGCAATGCACCTGCACCGGCTGGGGTTACGTGTGTGACGGTAGAGAAGGGATTTCACGGCTTCTCCAGCCGACAGCCATTGGTGATGGTGGTGCTCTCATGCGATTGATTGATCAGCCTGACACTCGCCTGCGTGAAAGATTGCAGCAGACAAGGCACTCAGCGCCGGCCACGTCTAGCTGTGGCTTGCGTAGTGAAGTGACAGGTGCATTTCGTTACTCTCGAGCGATCGTGGTGGTGTTGAAAGGTGGAGATGGCCGGGAGTCGATGACGCCCTCATCAAGGTTTGATAAAGGGGCGGCTCCGCCTATGTGAAGTATGCCCTGCGCCGCAGAGGTGCTTGGAGGCGACGTCTGCTGCAAAGGGTACCGAGTTGATCCAGGCTTCTGGTCAATCGCGTGTGTACTGGAGCTCAAGGGTCCACGCAACTGGCGTTTCCGGCATTTCGTTGACAAGAAGACGCCGTCGAAGGCCATGCACTAAGACGTTTTTCATTTCGCCGTCCTCGGGGGCAGCCTCTTGACGCCGGCACCATCACGTGCATGATGATGGAAAACCTCCGAGCAAATCCCTTTTCTCTTGCAGTCGGTAGATAGCATACCACTACAAACCACCCCCCA